AAGTGAGAGAAAGAGAGAGAAAGAGAGAGAAAGTGAGAGAAAGAGAGAGAAAGTGAGAGAAAGAGAGAGAAAGAGAGAGAGAGAAAGAACAAAGAATTTTATGAAACAAAATAATTTTAAAAAAATATTAAATTATTATATTAAACATAGTTTTTACATTAGATAGGGGGGGGAACGGGGCGGAAGCGTTTTTGGGAAAACAAATTCAAGTAAAAAATAAAACTCATTATTATTATTATTATTACATTTTCCATCTTCATCTAGTTTTCTGCGTTTTTTGTCCACTTCTTCAAAAGTTTTACCTTTCGATTCATCGTAATTCCAATTGTTGCCATCGGAGCCGTCATCTGGTATAATTGTGCTTGGTACTATTTTTTAAAAAAAATATATATATAAATATATATATTCAAAATTATTATCTATATTAATTTATTAAAAAAAAAATAATTATTTTTTTTTATAATTTAAAATTTAAACTTACGACAAACAATAATAATCGCAATTGAAATCAAAACAAAATAGTGATTCATTGTTTTTTTTTGTTAGTTTTATTTTATTTTTATTTTCAACTTTTTATGAGTGATTATTTTTTCAAAAATAAAATGAAACAACGCTTTATGTATATATCATATATATATATATATAATAATAACTGCATAGAAAAAAAAACATATGTACCGATTATGTTATTTTGAAATAAAACTAGTATTTTAACTAAAATATGTATAAAAATAAACTATTGACGTAAATTTCATTTAATAAAAACCTAATTTTAAACCTAAAATTAAATAAAAATTCATTAATAAATCAATGATATTGATATTGTATTGTCCATGTGTTGTACTATTGACGCAAATCTATTTAAAAATTTCAAATATAGAAAATATATAAATTTTATTGAAACATTATTTTTAGATTTTTAGATATTAGTTTAAATTAAATAATAAAATAAGATTTTTTTAAAATCAAATTTTTATATTGTTTATTATATCAATTATCTTTAATTAAATATATATATATATAAATAATAAAAACAAATATTTTTACATTTGTTGTTACAACAAATTAAGTCCAATAATAATGATTAATTAATTTTTTTTATTATTAGTAAAATCATATTTTTTTTAATCAATAACAACTAATCAAACTATGTTATCATTGATTATAAGTTATTTTTTTGAGTTTTAATTTTCAATTCAATTAATGTATTAATTGTTGAAACTTAAGTTTTTGAGATTTAATAACTTTAATGAATAGTTTGTCCATTGTAACAAAAATATTTAAATGAAAACTAAAGTAGGAATTAATTATAGTTAAAGTTAACTATAATTTAATATATAAATGTTTTAAAAAACATAAAAAAGTTATACCAGTCTTATAAGTCCACCTGATTTTGACTTATTTTTAAAACAAAATTATAAATAAATTTAAAAATAAAAAGCAAGTATTATAATAAGAAATAATTAAAAATGATATTTAAAATAATAATGTTTTTATTAAATTTTTTACTCAAAAAAATATATATAATTCTATTTCTTTTGTTTTTGAAAATTGTTTTGAATAATATAAATATTTTTTGTAAACTTTGGAAAAAAAACTTAATTTTTAAAAATATCTATAAATAGTTTAGAAAATTTTTTTTCTTCTTTGATTACATAAAATTTAATATTAATAAAAATGAATTTGACGTCAATTGTCTTAAATAGTTTAAATTTAAAATTTAAAAAATATAATTTAATGATTAGTATATTATTTGTAAATTGTTTTGTAGATATAGTTTGAAAATTTAAATAAATAAACTAAATCTAAACAAACAAACAAAAAATGAATCTTTTTATTATTGTTTTACTTTCAATGACAACTATGATTGCTTTTCGTAAGTTTTTTTTAAATAAAAAATTATTTTAAATTATATTTTAAAAAAATAATAACAAATATATATTATTTTTTTTGCAAAATATAATAATAGTATCAAGCACATCTGGACAACTCGATTATCTAAGTAAGTGATAATTTTTTTTATCTATTTTGTTACATTTTGAATTTGAAAAAATTTCAGTTAAAAATACTTTAAAAAAAATAAAATAAAATAAATTTTTATTATAATTAATAGATGTTATTGAGAAATCACGAAACAAACGGGATATTAATAATCCCGTTCCGACTGAAGCCGAACCTGAAATGACTTACGAAGAATATGAAAAATTACAAAAAGAACAAATGGCTAAAAATAATGAACAACAAGAAGAAAAAGAAGTCATTACAGGTATTTTAATATTAGTTTTTTTTTGTTAAGTTAGTTACCGTTTTGTCTCCTCTATATAAAAATTTCCAAAAAGTCATTTTGTTAAATCACATATGTCTAAATTTATTTTTGCTATTTTATTTTTAATAATTTGCTAATTTTTAATCTTTTTTTTATCCATATTATCTATATCAAAAATTTCATTTTTGGCTTAAATTTAGGTTTATAGAAAGCAGGTAGACAAAAATTATTGTCTTTTATGAAGTTTATTATTAAAAAAAAAAGTTTAATTATATTACTTATTGATGTTACTTAGTAACCTTAGTTTCGGGTGGGTATGAGGTTAGGAAACGGTTTGAATGGGAAAGGGTATTTAGTTTTAATTAGTTTTTACCTGGCTGCTTTGTTTCCCTAAATTTTTTTTCCATGAACCCCCAAATGGGGTTAATAATACATATAGTAATTACGGTAATTAAAAATTCTAATATAAATTCTACTTAAGAACGAACTATCGACGAGTTTTCAACTGCATCTGAACCAACTCCAGAGGAATTGGCTGAAGACGAAAGAAAACAAGAAGAAGATCACTATCATTATAATTATCGTAAGGAACACGAGATTACAGTTTGCAAGAGTAATGACGATAATGATTGTCAAAATCGTCAACAATGTCTGTTTGTTTTACAATTAGACGGTTACTATTGTTTTTATAAATATAATATTCATAATATTTGATTAAAATAATTAATAAAAACAAAATTTTTTAATAGTAAAACAAAAAAATAGTATAAATACTAAAAATATAAATAAGTTTTTTTTGAATAATTTTACAATACAATCAAAATCACCGGCTTATATACATTTTATATATTTATACATTTATAGATATAATCAAAAATTAAACAACAACAAAAAAAACGAAAATAAAAAATATTTTTATATCAATTTTAATCATTTAATTCTATAGATACAAAAAATTACTAAAATTATTGACTTATGTAATTATGTACCTAAATTACTCGTGTCTCTCATTAACTCCTTAACTCACTCACTCACTCACTCACTCACTCACTCACTCACTCACTCACTCACTCACTCACTCACTCACTCACTCACTCACTCACTCACTCACTCACTCACTCACTCACTCACTCACTCACTCACTCACTCACTCACTCACTCACTCACTCACTCACTCACTCACTCACTCACTCACTCACTCACTCACTCACTCACTCACTCACTCACTCACTCACTCACTCACTTACTCACTAAATCAATCATTAACTCACTCACAATTTTTTTTATCAATAAATACATATCAATTGTTTGAATTCAATATAGAATTTATTTAATTGTTATATTAATAGTAATTCTTATTTATTTTTTTTAAACATTGTTAATAAAATTAAAATTTTATTAATAATGATTTTTATTTGTAACTATTTATCTGTAGAATAATTTTTATTATATGGAGTTTTTTTCATTTTAAGTGCAGTCTTGTATACCCATTGTCTTTCTTTTTCATAGATTTTCTTAACAAATTCAGGCACTAAATTAAATTAAATAAATAAATAAATAATAATAATTTACTATTAATATTAATTATTATTATTAATAATTAAACAAAAAATTTGTTTCTATTTATATATATATATAAAGCATAAATAAAACTATAATAATAATAATATTAATAATTTAAGATTACCTAATAATACCGATAATTAATTATAAATTTAATTTTAATTTATATAATTTAATATATATTTTTTTAGTATTAAAATAAATTTTTATTATTATTATTATTATTACATTTTCCTTCTTCTTCTAGTTTTTTGCGTTTTTTGTCCACTTCTTCGAAAGTTTTAACTTTCGATTCATCGTAATTCCAATTGTTGCCATCGGAGCCGTCATCTGGTATAATTGTGCTTGGTACTATTTAAAAAAAACAAAATATTTATTATCTACATTATTTTTTTTGTTGGTAATTTAAAATTTAAAACTTACGAAAAACAATAATAATCGCAATTGAAATCAAAACAAAAAAGTGATTCATTGTTTGTTTTTTTTGTTAGTTTTATTATTATTTTTTTTTTGATTTTCAACTTTTTATGAGTGATTTTTTTCAAAAATAAAATGAAAGAACGCTTTATGTATATATATATATATATATGCAATAATAATAATAATTGCATAGAAAAAAAAACATATGTACCGATTATGTCATTTTGAAATAAAACTAGTATTTTAACTAAAATATTTATAAAAATAAACGACGTTAATTTCATTAAATAAAAACCTAATTTTAAACCAAACATTATTTTTAGATTTTTAGATATTAGTTTAAATTAAATACTAAAATAAGATTTATTAAAATCAAATTTTTCTATTGTTTATTAAATCACATATCTTTAATTAAATATATATATATATATATAAATAATAAAAACAAATATTTTTACATTTGTTGTTACAACAAATTAAGTCCAATAATAATAATTAATTAATTTTTTAATTATTAGTAAAGTAATACTTTATTTAATCAATAACAACTAATCAAACTATGTTATCAATAATGTTTATCATTAACTTGTTTGTTAGTGTATAATGTTATGCTATGCACTTTTGATAATAACAGCATTTAATTAATCATTGTAAATAAAACAGTATAAATATTAGGATAAAATAGTTATATTTTAAAAAAATAAATAACTAAAATACTGCATTAAAAAATTATTTTGTCCCAAAAAATAAAGTAATATAATTCACACATTATTTTCAATGGACCAAATTGAGCCTGGTGTTTATGGAGCACTTAACTATTGTCCCAGAAAATTTGCACTAGATTCATTTAGTATCTTAAAAAATACTAATAGGTATGTATAGTAATTATTATTATTATTTTTTTTTAAATTAAAAACTTATAATTATAATAATTATAAATAATTTTTTTTTCGTAATTAATAGATGCTATGATTTGATTGTCGATGTGGGTGCTGGCGATGGTGGTATAACCAAACTGTTAGCTACAAGTGTCCGACACCAGCATATTGTTGGCGTAGATGTAGATCCAGTGATGACCAACTATGCCGACACCAATAACAAGGGAGAAACCATTGAATATGTGACACAAGATATGAGTGTCGGATGGCATGAGTTGAGTCCTGGGGTTCGGGAGTTAGAGTCCAAAGTTGACCTCATATTCTCCAACTTTGTTCTACACTATATCCCTGATCGGCAACAATTGGTTAATACATTTTCGAGACTACTGTCCACTACTGGTAGCGGTGGTGTACTTCACGCTAATATCATAATACTGGCCGATCTGAACAAAAAGTTGGTCAAAACAAACAGTGGTTACCAACCACTGAAAATGTGGTATCAATCCTGTGATAAACAGTTAGCCGAATGGGAACAAAGTTTGAGAGACAATCAATTGGTGATCAAAGAGTTTAAAGTTATTGAAGATATTTGGCAATTGAATCGCAAAGAGATTATTGGTTTGTTATATAAAGTATATTATATATCAACAAAAAAAGTTTAAAATATTTTTTTTTTGGTATTTTTTTTATAGATTTTTTACCGGTTTTGATACACGATTTTCGTCCATATTTTCAACACCAGTCGGACTTTGATGCCGAACTGGCCGACCATTTACCGAATACAGTGTTCGACGCATACGTCAATTCCGATGCCCGACACCCGAACCCCGAGGCGTGGACACAATTTTTGGCCGACACTACTGTCGCCGAAGTAAACATTAATTTGAAAATTTTAAGAGTAATTTGTTATAAAAAATAATATTTTGACAATAGTTTGAATGAATTTTTATTTTTTATTTTAATATAAATAAAACAAAAATAGATTCAATTATTACATTAAATAAAAAATGTTTAAGTAATAAAAAATATTATTAATTCAATAATAAATAATAAAAAAAGTAATACTAATTATATTTAATTCTTATTAATAATAATTAATTTTTTTATATTAATTAACACTCGTCTCCAATGTATTACTACTGTTATTATTATTTTGGGATTCAATCAATGGTATCATAGGTTTATTATTATCATTGAAGTGGTTGGCAAATAATAAACGATGTTTTGCCAGTCTATTCAAAAAAAATAAATAATAATAATTATAATAATTAAAAAATTAAATTAATATATATTCAATAAAAAATATAACATAAAAACTAGACCTACATTAACATAATTACTATAATACATGCAATCACTGTAGCTATAAGTATAGTGTTAAACAGTGAGAATGATTTAAAACTTGATAATAGTTGATTAATATCATTGAAAATTGATGTTTTAATTTTGTCACTAATAAATTCATTATTATTATTATTATTATTATTATTATTATCATCAGTAATATACTGTTGAGATATATCATCGGATACTCTATTAAAATCAATACAAACATATGACTGACCACTGGGTAGGCATAGATCGCGACAATTATTATCCAAACATTTGTTTGTAAAGTTATAGTTAGTAATGATTTTATTATCAATAATTGTAAAATCAATTAAATATGTACGATCTATATGTTTAACATTATACACGAAAAATTGATCATGGTCATAATTGATATTACTATTGTTGGCAAAAACAATGACTTCAGCTCTGGGTATCCGTAGATCTATTTCTGGCAGTTTATAAATCATATGATTGTTTGCCACAAATATTAGTATAATAACGATAAGTCATTATCGATGACTTGTATTGCAATCAATGAATCAAATAGTTGTTTGGATTTCAAATAAAACAATTCATTATTGCCATTGAAATCGCATGAATATAATTCATAGTCTGTGTGATCAATGAAATAATATCTGTGTATATCGTAATCAATAGTCAGTTGTGATAGTTGTCTATGCTTTTGATAAATAACTGTTTGATTATAATCACTATTATTATATCACATAAAAATAAACAACAAAAACAAACAATGACTTCAGCTCTGGATATTTGTAGAAATATTTCTTGTAATTGTAAAAATCATTTGATTGTTTACCATAAACAAGTTAACAGTTAAACATTTTTTTTTAAATATTATTTTAATTATATTTATGTTTTTATATACTTTTGTATTTTGTATAATGTAAATTATATAAACAATGATTTTACTAAAATTATTGTATTGAAAAAATTTATCTAAATTTATGAAAACTTAATTAATAATAAAAAACTTTTCAAATTTTTATTTAATCCACAGTTGTTTCTAATGTATCCAATGAATTGTTGATACTTTTATTAATGTTATTTCTCAATGGTATCATTGAATTATTATTATTATTGGATTGCAAACCAAATAGTAATCTATGTTTTACCAGACTAGTCATGTAATAAAAATTTTGAAAAAAAATAATTCAATTAATTCAATAGATATGATATTTAAACTATAATAATAATAATTAACATACATAAACATAATTACTATAAAACATGCAAACAGTATAGCTATAAGCACTGTATTAAACATTGATAATGATTTGAAACTTTTTAATTGTTGTAAAATAATATCAAAGTTTTGATTGATATTATTATTATTATTAGTCGTAACTTTATTAGTCAATTGTTGAGATATATAATCGGATACTCTATTAAAATCAATGCACATAAATGACTGACCACTGGGTAGACATAAATCGTTGCAATTATTATCCAAACACTTGTTTGTAAAGTTATAGTTATTAATAATGTTATTATTACCAATAATAATAAAATCATGTAAATAACTATTAGCAATATATTCAACATTATGTTGAAAAAATTGTTTCCTATCATAATTATAGTCACTATTGTTAGCTAAAAGTATGACTTCAGCTCTGGGTATTCGTAGATCTATTTCTTGCAGTTTATAAATCATATGATTGTTTGCCACAAATAAGTCATTATCGATGACTTGTATTGCAATCAATGAATTAAATAGTTGTTTGGATTTCATAAAAAACAATTCATTATTGCCATTGAAATCGCATGAATATAATCCATAGTCTGTGTGATCAATGAAATAATATCTGTGTTTATCGTAATCAATGGTCAGTTGTGTCACTTGTTTGTTGTTTTGATAAATAACTGTTTGATTACTTCCGTCTAAATTGCATTGCTGTAGGTTTGGCTGAAAACCAATATTACTCCAAATTAGTACTGATTTCATATGATTTACTAATAGATGTATTGATAAATCACTTTCAAGATTAACAATTGTGTGGATATTTTCAGTGCTATTAATATGCATAACATTAATACACTTAAACTGACTGTCTATCCAATACAACAATCCATGGATCCAATCATAGACTATACTATCGGGTCTAGACTTTATAAAATTAATTGTATTTCTAATATTTTTAAAATTGTTTGGTTCAATAAATTTAATTTGTTGAATATCTTGATTATATAATATGATTGCATAATCATTGGCACCAATAATATTCATATAACCTAAATGATGGTCAATATGATTGTTTGTTTCCAAATTAATCAATTGATTATCAATTGATATAATTAATGTATTTTTGTAACCTAATCATAAAACATTTTTAATTAATTATATTGTAATAAATTTAAAAATTTAATTATAAAACATACCCATATATTTTGTATGATAGTTTAATTTGAATCCCATTTTCAGATTATTATTATTATCACTTATAAATGTTAAATTGGCAATGTTATCCATTATTGATAGAATACGTCCTTGATCAATTGATCCATTTAAAGTAATTAATTGATTATCATCATCACTATTATTACTGTTACTCAAATAAACTAGATCATTTTCATCCGTATCAAACTCATCTACAGTGATATATATATTGTTACCATGGGTAACATTAATAATCCAGGTACATTTAAGATTTTCATAGTACGGTTTGGGATAACATGGACTATATATTGGGCCACCATTTAGATTGGTATATACGCCACCACAACCTTGATTACAATAATTATATTTAGTTAGTTAGAGTGAGTGAGTGAGTGAGTTAGTGATTGATTGATTGAATGAGTGAATGAGTGAGTGAGTGAGTGAGTGAGTGAGTGAGTGAGTGAGTGAGTGAGTGAGTGAGTGAGTGAGTGAGTGAGTGAGTGAGTGAGTGAGTGAGTGAGTGAGTGAGAGATTAAAAAATTTAAATAATATTCAAATTTGAAACTATTTATTGATATAATTTATAATAATAATAATAATAAAATTTATTTATTAATTATTTACCATGATCAATAGTTTCATATTGTATTTCCAATTGACCCTGATCTATAATACCAGCAATTACTAGATTATTTGATCCGGACAATATATGTGTACCATTATTTGTATCATAGATAATTGATGAATCTAGTTTTTTTAATGTCGTATATTGATAGTTATTAACATGGTCAAAAATTTGTAAAATATCACCATGGTAAATTTTAAACTTGCTAAAATACAATCGCAAACTTTTGCCCGGCACTGTTGTTATATTCCATAGACATTTATCCATATTATTATTATTATTATTAGTTTCATCATAATTGTCAAATACAATTTTGCCCCTGGTCGAATTATAATTATCACCACAATTATTACTACTGAGAAAATTATTTAAACCAATTGAAGTAACTAATTGAAAAAAATACAAAATAAAATATATTATTAATTATCAAAAAAAAAAATAAAGTTTATATTTTTAACAATTAAAAAAATAAAGTTTATATTTTTAACAATTAAAAAAATAATTATATAAATAATAATTATACAGATAATATCAATTTAAAAATTTAAATTTGAGTAATATCGTGTACTTGTTAACCATACGCTAAGCAAGGTAACTTAGTGTATACAGTTAGCTTATAATTAGGTAAGTTATATACAGTACCTTGCTAAAGCTTGTACATAATATTACTAAAAATATTCAAACTTTTAAGTGGGGTATAAACTTTATATATATATATATATATACAGTATATATTATATATTAAATTTTACTACTAATATAAACTAACCTAGTTGACTATAATCAATTTGAAATCCTCTATATTGTGTGCCACTATCGCTAACAAATTGAATAGTTACAATGTTGCCAGTTGAATTAATAGTATTTAATTGTATTATACTATTATAATTGCCATCTAATCTATCTAAAACTTGACCACCACTAGAGTCTCCATAGCCATCTATGATAACTAGAATATCGTATTTGGGTTCTGTATGAAAATCGACAATTTTCAATTGTACCCGGTTACCATAATCAACTGTAATGTACCAGGTGCATCTTAGATTGGGACCGTATGGTCGGGGATAATTTGGACTAGTAATGGTACCATTGGGACCAGTCAATTGTACATTGTTGCAATCTAGTAGTTGAACGACCAACAAAAAAAAATAATTAAAATAAAATAAAACATAATTAAATTGTTTATATATATATATATAGCATCAATGATCTAATTATTAGATGGACCCTTATTTAAAAATAACATAGTTTATGAGTAAAATATTTTTTTTTAAAAACTTATAACAAACAAATTAAATAAGTAATCAGTATAATAGTTATTATTATTAATATTTTTTTAAAAAATCATTGAAATTTCGATTTAATCAAAATAAGTTTATAAATTTAATTTCTAACTGTCTATTTGAGCTAGATCAAATATAGCATTTTAACATAACATAAGCTCAAAAAATAATTAATCTGTGCATTCTTTATATATATATATATATAGTATATTAGATTATTATTATTATTATTATTATAAAAATTAGATTTTATAATTATTATATCATAAAATAGTAATTTGTATACTTAACCAGATTGTCCAGATGATTTATTAATTATAGTTATTAATATTAATATTTTAACAAATAATAACTTTTTAATAAACATGTTTAATTAACTTAAAATTATTAAATACTATGATTTTATATTTTAAATTTAAATTATCTTATATTTAGTTTTATTGAATGCCAATATTATACTGAATAATATCAATAACTAATTATACATTAATATCAACGAATATAAAATTTATATTAATATTTATTAATATATATATAGTGTATACAAGTTATATATTTGATTTTGTTTTATTATAAATTATTTATGATATATTTAATTGATAAAAATATTATCAACTCTAAGCTCTATATAATTATCTAAATAATAGATAAATAAAATGTTAATAAATGTTTATAAAAGTTTATATTTAAAAAAACAAAAAAAAAATCAATTAACAGTTGTTTCCAATGTATTG